CCAAGCAAAATGTAATAGCTGGTTACACTTTTAAATGAATAGTTGTATACAAAATATCCTGGGGAAAAAAATCCATGCAAAATATATACAATTTGAGTTGACAACCCTAGTAGTAACACAGTTTGGTAGATCTAAATGGGGTCTTTGCTGGATCTAAGTGGGGTCCAGGGGTTAAATGTCTCCAGATACTTCTTTTAACATATCATAACATATTGGTGGATGGGTGTAATCATGCTGGTGTATTTAAAACTATAACTGCGTGTGTGTTCTGTTGGTTATGGGAAATGCAGATGACATTCAGTCAATAGAAGCTGGGAGAAAACCTAGCAACTCCGTTTCCATTCAAGAAATATTTTTAGGCTATTATACTTGTGGACACTGGAAACCCATTCAGGGCCCTGTGCTTTGGTTTGCATGGCCACACTGCTCCTCATTCTAAAATGTCAAGGTTTTTTTCTAGAAAAAGCCAACATTTATCAAAACAATCCATCAAAATCACCTTTTATTAATTTCATCAGCAGAAGATAAAAACATCTCTAGCTTACGTAGTTCAGGCATGACCTTCCTAGGACTTCTAGAGCTATGATTAAGGTTGTTTTATCCTTAAGACATGTAAGCTGCAACAGGTTTTATCTTTTGATGATTCACTATCGTGGGTACTGGCTTTATCATAATAGTCTGGCACTAATATTTATTAATTCATGTGGGACTATAAGCTGAGCTATTTAGAGACTAGATAACCACATGGGTCCGTGGCCTCCTTTTAGATAAAAGCCGCTTAAAGAAAATCTGGTATGAGAGAAATATGGAGATTTCTGTTGGTGACCTCTTCTACTGAAAATATTTGTTGAGTTGCGGTGAGGCTTACCCTGTTGCCTCTATACCGTGAATCACTGACCTGGATCAGAATACAATTAAGGACTTCTGACTATTTTTTTAGCATTATTGATGTGCAGTCTTGTGCTGGGTTGATGACTCAAAGTGTTAAGAACCAGCCTGCGCAAAAAGCATTGTTGTAGTTTAAATGGTGGACTGCCTCAGTTTTTCATTTCTAATATGTCCTGGATGCTCCGGTAGTGAGTACTCCCTGCCGTAATTCCCAACTTTTGTGCAGTGCACCTGTGTGTTCTAGCTCTTCTTAATAAATTATCCATGATGTAAACCATGGGAACCTCTCGTAGTGGCCACAGTAGGTGTGCAGATCCAGGAATTCAGTACAGAGTTCTCACCAATAGTGACAATAAACCTTCAGGTTGACATCTACTCTTTTTTAGATGTCAAAACTGGTTTTGCATTGAATGACCCTTAAGGTTTCGTTCACACCTAGGCGTATTGCATATGCGCGTCTGTCGTGCGTTTTTTTTTACCGCGAATCGCGGTAAAAAAGTCGCGCGACAAACGCGCGTTTCCGAAGGCTACTTGGCTGTATCCCAATGGAAACGCGCAACAAAACGGCCCAAAGTAGTACATGTAACTTTTCAGGCGTGGGCCGTTTTGTAGCACGTTAGGGACGGGCGGAAATACGCCAAGGTGGGAACGAGACCATTGAATACAATGGGATTTATATTTTTGAGCGTTTTGTAGAGCGTTTGTCGAGCGTAGAACACGCTACAAAACGTTCAGGTGTGAACGAGGGCTTAAAGCTAGTGGGTCAGTATAACCATGTGGACTACAATTTTAAGGAGGCGCTCAGCAATGGCAGACTTAATGTTTCTCTCCCAACGGATTTCCTTTATGCTTTTGAGGTGAAACCATAGCAACTTGAAGTTATCCCATGCAGATTGCAGAAAATGAGCAAAACTTAGACATACAAACTACACACAGATAGGACTGAGGGTGGATTGCAAACCAAAACCCCAAATAAGCAAAGAATGCTAAACAATTAGACATCATGTTGTCATCTTCTAATCCATGCATAACTGAGGCATGTGAAGAGTTTATTCCTGCTGCTTTATACATGACACTAACGCACAGTTCCTCTTTAAAGCATAACTGTACAGATGATGGGCTTTAAATAATAATGATGTTTTTCATCAGAAGCCCCTCCTATTGACACCTGGTGCTCCCCTTTCCATTTCAAAAGCCCCTCCCCTATTCACATCAGGAGCCCTCTTCACAACTGCCCCTTTAGCAAAGTCTTGGCTTTGTCTTGAAGACACCCAAGACAAAGCCAGAAGGCACCCAAGAGTACCACAGCACCTTGGTTGAGAGAGGCTGATCTAGATACATTTCATTTGTCATTACATTCATCTAATGTAAGTTACCATTGACAGCTAAATGCTGATTGGCTACCCTGGACATCTCCCTTTCCATACACGTCCATTTTTATACTTGATTGTATTAATGTTTTGTTATCATTCTGTGTTTCTCCTTCATAAGACACTCTCGTGTCGGCATGTTTTGCATGTTTTTATTTGTTTTATTATTGTGTGCCTATAGCCTTGGCTATGGGGTTGGGCATTTTGTGACGTGCACCAATACAACAGTGAGGTACAGTAAGTGTAGTCATTTGGAAACCATCATCTTGCTACAACTGAATGTTTTCATCAAATTGTTGCTTATAGACTAAACAGTGGTAAATCTTGAATTTGAAAGGGGGGGGGTATTAACACTTGCTTTTATAATACTTATTTTTCCATGAATGCATTCATGAGATGTACTCTATGTAGTTCTCTCAGCAAGTGTAGCTTGTACATATTCATAAATTAACATATATATTTACCTGTATATATTTGGCCTATCAAGCTAAAGGATTTGTAATTCTATTCAGCCGGTTTTATCATTCAGTCAACCCTGCCAGATGGCAAAACCATGTCAGTGAGCTCTGTTTCCTCTGTTTCCAAGGACCCATTTCCAGCTTGGTGGATGAATAATAAAGGAGCGGCAGCACACTGATAAGCTAAAGCAGAGACACCGGCACTCTAAATTTGCAAAATACGTCTATTTATTGACGTGCATCGTGGTAAAAAACACTGATAAGGTCACCCCCCTGCCCTCCTGTCAGCAGTAGAACCCTTATAGGCTCTGAGTGCTCCTCCAGCCTGCCTGGGATACAAAAAAGCTAATATACAGACATATATTTAAGTATATAGTTGCTACTGTACATTGACATTGAATAACATTTTAGTTACTACATACTTGGAATAAATAGTGATTTCTTTTTTTGTATATCTGATTTGGAGTTCAGTGGGTCTTATCTGCATGAACTGCAATGGCTTCTTCCATAACAGATGGTGTGACAGTTTTTTTTGTAGTGTCCTGTCTGCGGTGCATGGGTACTAGTTTCAGTACTGTGTATGAAGTCCTTAAACTTCCTATTTACGAGGCTGCTGACTGATTTTACAGATGGAACATTCAGAGGGGATGGTAAAGCAAATAGGGGCTTTTTCTGACGAAATTAATAACCTCACCGTAAGTACCAAATAATTTCTTCTTTCTTCCAGCTATCACTGCTTGGGGTTTAAATCTCAAGTGGTTATTATCTTTCATATCAGTGTTTATAAACCATACAAATTGAAATGTCTTTGTGCTTTTAATAAAACATGAATGTAGTAATAGGTCACCAGCACTCCAAAAGGCAAAGAAAATAATACATAAATCTGCTCACTACTATGTGCATTTGTCACTGTGACGACTTGAGGAAGGGACGTTGTGTGGCCCCGAAATGTTGGCAATTTTGACCTATGTGACGTTATTTGCGATATACATTATTTTCTTTGCATTTTGGAGTGTTGGTGACCTATCTTCACATCTCTGAAGTTTTGCATGGCACCATTCATGGTGGTCACTTCAAGCACCTATCTTATCTACAATGCTCATAAGGCTGTATGGTGTGCAACAATTTAATAAAGGAATGACGTGCTCATTGTTAAAGATAATTACTGTCACTCTGCCCACCAAAGAGGGTATTATTCTATTTAAAAGAAAGGATTCTAGTCCAATGAATACTTGACTGTTGGGAAGTGATGCATTGTTACTTAGTTTACTTACCCTTATCTTGGCCCCCCCTTGTTACCCTAAGGCCCCCCTCCCCCATGTACACAGGAATTAATAAAAAAGGTGCAGGTGCATTTGGAGGTCATTTCTTAACACTTGAAAGCATGTAGTGCCTTGCTATGGCTGAAGGCACACAGATGTTTAGAAGCATCTAGTTGCATTCAGTTTAGTTGTGTTTCTGCATTCTGGGATCATTAAACCAGGTTTTACATGGCTAAATGCATGTAAATGCAGTAAGGGCAGGGCCATCTAAACATGAGAAAGTGATCTAGGAAGCATAAAAGTAGTTTGTGCTTTCCATATAACTGTGCATGGGGCCTTATGGTTGCTACAGTAAGTAAGCCCAATCATGAGAAGTCTGTTTACATACAAATATGCTATAAATATACATATATAGGCCTATGATTTAATTTTATGTATCATTGTTTGTTCTAGAACAGAGTGCTACAATACAAATTAGTAAAATAAACATGAGATTCTAGTCCATCACAGGGGTGAGCTTGGAATGGTGACTACTTTACAACACACACAGGACAATGGGGAACAAAAATAGCCCCCCTCCAGAAGGAAGGACAGTGTCAGCACCAACTCAGAGATGATTTGAGGATCTACAGCCGAGTGATACACAAATAAGATACATTTTTGTTAATCGTTAAGATACTTGATCCTTACTACAACATTTAAGCCTGTAGGATAAAGTGCTTGTGTTGATGGGCAAATCCAGCTTGCTTTCCAGGTTCAATATGTTTGCATTTAAAATCAGTTTGAGACCCTTCAGACATAATTTACAGTTCATAGACGGGTGAATTTGACTTTCAGTTGACTTCCTTCTGACCTGTAGTTGGCCTGCTTTTAGACTGCATCAATCTGTTTCAAGCTGCTTTTGCATTCCTATTGATTTGTATGGGGAGAGGGGCAGTTTTAATGCAAACAAAAGCCCATCAACACAGGCTAGAAAGATCACAAAACCTTACCCTTGCCTTAAACTATTTCTGCATCTGTCCAGAGGGTTTTATGTGGTTATTAATCGTATCTGCTTTAAATCTTTCAATTTTAGAACATGCTGAGCACGGATGAACTCCTTAACAACTACAGATTTCTAACAAACTACGATGCTTGGAGATAGTGCTGCAAGTCACCTCTACTGCCAGTGTAAAGCCGAATTATAAGATGCCAAAGATTGCATTGGACAGATTCTGACCGGCAGATGTCACCAATGGGGTAACACAGGTAGCAGAAGTGATTGCTGCTATTCTCTTATGGCTACAAAGGGTCCAGCTGTGACCTAGACTGAAAAATGTATTTCTATCCTCAATTCAGCAATTGAAGCATTATCCTGATGTTACATGGAAAAACCTTACTTGTCCCTTAAATTGTGATAGGCCTAAGCTACACCAGTACATCAATGGTGATGCTAAAATCAGCTGCAATTTTTGGGTACAAATGATCAGTAAAAGATGGTTTTTAAGCTATACAAGCAACATAATTAATTGCACACATTTGCAGGCGCTACATGCTATGGGGTTTTTTAAGAAACAATTTGCAGAGCCATTTGTCTTGTGCAACTCCATGATTGTTCGTGCTGTTCGATTGGGGGGGAAAACGTATCTGGAAAATACTGCACTATGACCAATAGATGGAGCTGTGGAGCATAGGAAATTAATACTTTCCTATGCTCCTCCGCTCCATCTAGTGGCCTTAATGTCGTATTTTGCAGATATTACATTAGACTTTGAAAAAACATGTATTAATAATGCTTGTTTTTGGGTCTATGCGCACTGAATGGAGTGTCGCAGGGCAAATAGCTATGCAAATTGTGTGTGCAGATGCCCTAAAATCCAGGGAGCAATCATGTTTTTCACTTTGTAGCCCTGCATTATATACAAATCTTTAATAAGAAAAAAATGTGTAGCCCTCAGTCAGTATCCTGGAGGAAGAATCAGACCGGCAAAGTTCCATCCCCAACAGAAAGAGTTGTAAAGGAGATAGTGCTATATTCTCTCCATACCAGGCATGGCAGAGGGTCCCGGTGCTCAATTGTAAAAGTCCAATAGTTATACTGTATATTCCGAAGCAATAGGGTACAAACACAATGAGGGGGTCACCTATTCAACTAATACAAAGTCCTTCTTCATTAGCTTCCAGGTCCTTTGGGACAAAATGATCGAAAATTAATTGAATGCATTTTATAATAATGTTATAAGTCCTAAATCCGTCTGACATATTATGGAATGATAAAGGGTTAACTTTGAATGAGCTAGTCCCATAAATTGATCTGCATCACCTGGGGATATGGAAGCTAATAAGGATGGACTTCGTATTGGTTAAAAAGGTGACCCTATTGACCTGTCAGTGTATTTGTATCCGATCCCTTGAGAAAGCTCATAATGGTCATTGGCCGGCATTGATTTTAGAAGGTTTTAGCCTTGGTATATTGTTACAATAAAAAGAATTAAAGAGCTGGTGAGTGCCCTTGACATCCATTTTCTAAATATATATGATGTATATGTCTCTCTTGGTACCTCTCATTCTCCATACACCTGACTCCTTTACGGCATTCATTTCTTTAAGCTTTCCTCTGCATGGTAGCTGCCATTGAAAATGAGACCTTATCCTGGGAACCTAGCTATGCCCCTTTTTTATAGACGTTTTTGTATGTAGTCCATTGATAACAGCCTCCAGCTCCATTGCCAGAGGTGTGTACTTCTTTATGGAGAGGTGCTGGTGGAACTGTCTACAGGAACCTTTGCATTGCACCCGTGATCCAGTGATTGTGATTGCAATGCTTTGCAAGCTTCTTTTTGCAATATGGATTCATTTATTAAGTGGAATGTGCCCATCATCTACCAAAATATCATTATTTTTTTTCAGACTGCCAAGTCTCTAAAACCCTGTGGGCTTTGTACATTTCCCATTATGCCATATGGCCCTGGTTCTATTTGCTTACAGGGATTTAGCTTTTTGATATCTGTTACGTACAGCCAAACGGCTCAGCTTACAAAGCTAACACACCAGGATGAAGGATCTCTATTTTCAATAGGCGACCGTTATTTTTAGCAGAGTCTAATGAGATGTAAAGCAAGAAAAAAATTGTGAGCAGAAAGGTTTTTTATTGCAGGAGAGACAAAGGGGTATATTTATAAACGATTCACAGTGCCATTTGTCCTGCAGAACTCTATGAACAATAGGAACAAGCATTCTATGCAAACAGAGGCAAAAAACGAACAGTCTCGGTATATATTTCCTTTTCAGGTTTAATATAATGTTATGTCATGTCAGGCTATTAGCTGCAGCATAGGAACAAAGTATTTATTTCCTATACCCCTTAGCTCCTCCTAGTGGCCATAATGCAGTATTTTTCTAATATTACATTTGACCTGAAAAGAAAATTTACTAAGAATGTTTATTTTTTTGCCTCCATTCACACAGAATGAATGTTCATGGAGTTTCACAGGATTAATAACCCCTAGAATTGTATATAAATGCACCTCAATAGTTTCTGCACACAGTCCCGGCATCTACCAGGTGGCTGGATGAATCAATTGCCATGCGCATGCATGGTAGTTATCATCCCGTGCCAGACAATCAAGATGGCTGAAGAAGTAGAACCCAGAAAAAGACCAGGTGAAAATGTTAGCGACGACTTAGAAACAGAATTGATATCATGAAGGTAAGTATAGTGGACTTTGGTTATGCTTTAAAAATGACAGCCACATGACTGCAATCATCACCTTATCCTGTCTTAAAGCTTTGCAAACTGAGCCATTAAATACTCCTAGGGCCTATTTACAGCAGGGTAATCAGCTGGGGTGGGTTTAGTGCACATGTTCCTTTTATTTTAATGGGTTGCCCAATGCAGGACAACATAAGAACTTACACTTGGTAACGCAGCACGCCACAATACATGGTAAGTTTTGGAAGTGTCAGGTGCGTTGTGCAGGTGCGTTTAAAATAAACGGCATTGTAGCACACCAATGCGCATAAAGTGTGTTGCTGCAGCTCAGGCACAGGCCCTCAAGGTTTTCTTGATTTTCTCTTGAAATAGGACACAGTGATAACATCATATGATAATACCATTTAATATTTATTTTCTGTATAATGGAAAGTTGTATATTTTTTGTCTATTGCTAATTTAATATATATTGTATTGTTTGCAGAATGAGATGTATATAGTTTTATCTTTGTAATTCTTCATATTTATTTTTATTATATTGTATTCTACAAAGCTGCCGTTTTTTCTGCCCCATTGGGACATTTAGGTTGTGTTTTAAAGTGACATTAAACCCTCAGATTTTTTAACATAAAACAATACTGTAATGTGCGCCTTACTGTAATCCATGGTAGTTTCCCTTCTCTTTGCTGCTCTTCCTTTTAAATCTGTATCTGTTCTCATGCTGGGCAGAACTTCTGTTTTGCAGCAGACTGCCTTGTCTCAGGAATGGATATATGGTGTCTGTTTATGTTTGCAACCTGAGCCAGCACTACAGGAAGAGGCACTCAGCTGCAAAGCGAAGTTCTCCCCAATCATGAGAAGAGATACAGATTTAAAAGGAAGAGCAGCAAAGGGAAGGGAAACAACCATGGATTACAGTAAGGCACACATTACAGTATTGGTTTATGTTAAAAAATCTGAGTGTTTAATGTCACTTTAATTTACAGAAATGTAACAGCTCTTTGGCCTCACTATTTCTACAAATTTTAGGCGATCATTCACATCAGGGGCCAGATCATACCGCGGCCAATGGTGTGTGTTGTGATGCACTGAAAAGGAGTGCAATTAGTCCTAGTTTTTTTTTTTGCAGCACACACAGGGTCATCCCTATAATGAGGCAGCCTGGCGGCATTTTTTTGGGTCACGCTGAGGAAAGTGGGTGCGGCAGGCAAAAGCGCTCTGCTGCCCCTTTTCTGGCCAGAGCATGCAAGGTTGCTAAGAGCTGGGTGAGGAGTGGTGTAAGGGCCATAAACATCTCCCAACCCAGCTCTTAGCAACCTGAGATGCTCTGGCCCGCGTACCTCCCAGCTCATGGCAACCAGTGATGTCAGCAAGATGGATGGGAGTTAGCTTACACCACCAACACAAGGCCTAACCCCCCATCCCCCAGGTGCACCACCAGTATCACTTTCCGCCGACCTCAAAAGGTTATGGATACCCCTGACTGGACTGATGAGAACTGAACTCGTAGGATTCAAGGCAACCATTGCTTTGCCCAACGCACATGGTTTGAATGGGCCCTAAAGGAAACCAGTACTATGCTGTCACATTGGCCCTCTAGCCTTGAATAATTTCTAGTGCAATGAATGAACGTGTACTCAAGAACACAATTATTCTGCAGGAACCCTTTGCTTTAAAGGAAAACTTCTCTTTTGGTGGAGTTGTGCTTTATTAAGCATATTATTAAATCTTCCCCCACCACCTATGGTTGCATGCCGCAGTCCTATTTATTCCTACGTATAGCCATACTCATGGCGACCTAATGAGTCTGCGATCCACATATGCAGTGTAAAGTCCCTGGTGGACTGCACTCAGAGAGGTGGGGGAATTTTATTAAAGGACAACTTCACTAAAGGTGAAATCAGGAATCGAGGAGTCCGCATAACAGCCAAGCAACTAGTGTTTTTTTTTAAGAAGGGGAGATCAGCAATGGTAGCCTTTAGGGCTCATTCACATTATGTGGCGCGGTCATGCAAACCATTATCATGCAGTTTTAAGGCAGATTATTAATTTTGCGGCAATGTGATAAATTGCACGCTGCCATAACACATTAATGTGACTGTGCCCTCAAGACAAAAATTATTTCATTTTTCCCGTGCACCAAACTTTACTAGATGACTATATGTTATAGAAACTGGTCACCCTTCAACTTGATCTCCTGACATATGCTGATAGATAAGCAGATGAAAATTGAACTCCTGCTGCTTATATTAGATTTAACCAAATCACGGGACATCATGAATGTGTATACATTGAAAGGGAAAGGAGTGCAGCATTGTTTCTGTGCTGTCCCATTTTTTATTCATTGCATATTTTCAGAAGCTGACACTTCTTTAGTTATCATTTCTTTCCAAACCCTCAAAATATGTTTTTATGGTAAAGGGACCCCATTGCAGCTTACTATGCAGCTCTGGGTCCTAGGTTTAGATCCCAACAGGCACTCTGTTTGCATGGCGTTTATATGCCCATCATGTTTGTTTGAGTTTCTGCATACTGGTAGATAACCAGGTTTCCTTCCACTGTGCCTATGAGTAAGGAAGAGACATTAGATTGTGAGCTCCTTCAGGGGACAGGAACTTATGTGAGAATATTACTAATATTCTGAAGCTATATAAATAGTAAAGGGTAATAATACCCCATTTGGCAAACCAGCCTTCCAGTTGTTTCCTAAGAAGTAAATTTAATGTGTTTGCAGACATTTGTTGCCCAGCAAACATCAAGAACCATGGTGGAGGTTCTCTATTCAAGGCCGGCAACCCAACATGCCTTATGCAACATGACAGTTGACCAGGGGAGGACTGGGGACTACCCCCAGTCCAGTCCCCTCTTGATCAGGATAACCGCCAGCTAACTAATATTATATAAAATTTGGCGATGGCACCTCCATATTTTTTCACTGGTGGGCTTACGCCTGTGCAGCTCAGCACCTAATCATTATTATCTGTTACATGCCATACAGTCTTTCCAAAAAACTGAATCTATTCAGTACTCGCTGTTGGGTTGAAAGCTCACACATAGATGGGTTTAGACCAGAGTTTGCGGTCTCTGCTCCATAATAACACTTATTGTACATTGAAAACAGGTAAAGTTTATTTTTATATCCTTTGTATAACAATATAACAAATGGTTATGGTAACATGACAATAATTGTACTCACAAGGTGACTCTGTTGTATTATGCCATTAAAAGTATGTAAAACTGTAAATATATGTATACATTTTATTTGCTGTATTTTATCCTGAATGCTAAAATATGTTTTGTCTTTTTGCTGACAAATAAACTACATTTACCTTTTAAATATTATTTTATGACTGTGCTGCCTACAATGCTGAATATGGAGGGGTTTGGGAACCTGTGCACACTATGTGAGACTTTCCTCTATGGTGATATCTTCCTGGAATAGGTACAGCAAAGGTTCCTTGTCTCCTCATCAGCACCTGCACTGGTCCCAAGCTCAACAAAAAAGGGTGTTAAAGGCCCAGCTACTCTTCCATGTGAGATTTTCATGGCAGGTGCCATCTTCCCAGACTGGGTAGAGCAAGGGTCTTAATTATGTTACTGCACTTTGTAATCTCACATCAACGTCCGCACTGTCTCCACTGACACCCGTAGAAAACAGCACATGTGGACTTCATCTTCTACTTCTTAATATACGTGGGTCACAGCAACGAAACAAGCCTGGGTTTTGGATCTTCTTAAACTTGATCTATATCGATTGAATGGTTCTAGAGTGCCTCCAAAAGAAGTTACTTTAGTTCACTATATGGCCAAAGGTTTGTGGACACTTGACCATCGCACCCATATGGGGATGCTGGACATTTTATTATAGGTGGAGGCTGTTATTGTGGCAAAGGGAGGGCAACTCCATATCAGTGCCCATGATATTATATGGAAAGGCTTTCCACAAGATTTTGGAGTATGTGTGTGAATTTCTGCCCATTTAGCCAAAAGAGCATTTCTAAGGTCAGGTACTCCTATTGGATGAGAAGACCTGGCTTTCCAATTCATCCCAAAGTTGTTCAGTAGGGTTGAGGGCAGAGCTCTGTGCGGGCCACTGAAACTCCTCCACATCAAACCATATCTTTATGGACCTGACTTCTCGGGCACAGCCATGCAGGGAAAGAAAAGGGTATTCCTAATCTGGTTCCAACAAGCTTGGAAGTGCACAATTATCTAAAACATCTTTGTGTGCTTTAGCATCAACAGTACTCTCCACTGGAAACACCTAAACTCAATAATTTGGAGGGGAGCCATATAAAAATAGTGTATGTTCTGATTTAACAGCCCGTACAAAGCAATGCGAGGTTGACAGCAGACGCAGCTATTCGCATGTAATCGCACAAGGGAGCAAATACCTGCAGTTAGTTAGTCAGAGATGATTGCCACTGCAAAGCGTGTTCTGGGGCAATCATCCGTCTCTAACCGCAGGTAGCTGCTCCAAGTGCGATTATATGCGAATGGTCATGGAGCCCTGCGGCTGCTGTCAGCCTCTCATTGTGCTGTACGGGCTGATCTATAATACGAAATCGCCTGCACTCCATACAGGTACTTTGGATGAAAGGTTGGTGCTTGAAGTGACAACACAAATGGCGCCGTGTCAGATACAGTCCATAACAGAAGTCACCAGAACTCGATGATGTGTGCAAGAAGTAAAGCACTTTTTATTAAACTGTCACATGCTTCATACAGCCAACGTTTCGTGGCCACGCAGGGTCTGTATGACGCATGTGACAATTTAATTAATAAAAAGTGCTTTACTTCTTGCACACATCGTCGAGTGCTGGTGACTTCTATTATGTACGGGCTAATCTGCCACAATCGCCTGAATTTGCTGGATTCCTTCTGCTTTTGTCCTTAATCGCAGGTGTGAATGAGGCCTTATTGCACATGTGTCAAACTCAAGGCCCAGGGGCTGAATCCGGCCCACCAGGCCATTTCCTAGACTTCTACTTTCAGATCTTTCAGTATTGAGTTATTACTAAAACCAGTGATAATCGAATGCAGAGGCAATTATGATAAAGATTAGATACATTTATATAGTCTTACAGATACCTTTGAGGGCAACCATAATGTTGATGCGGCCCACGATTAAATTGAGTTTGACACCCCTGCCTTATTGAGTACAATTTTTTTTTTCTCATTGTCCATTCTGTGCAGTGGTTGCATTCTGCCTTCTTGTGTACATTTTGGAAAGTGCAGCTCCAGTAGACCTAGACATATACTCACTCAAGGTACAGAACAACCGTTTATTATTGAAAGCTTAGGATAAAAAGTCATCATTAAACCAAGCGTTACAAATTCACAGTTTCAGATGATATAAGTCACTTCCAGATATAAAATGTAAAGAGAAATAATACAATTGTACAGCTGAAGAATTCCTCCTGAGATGCTCCTTACGTTTCTTTGTGTGTCAGTATCTGGATTAACGCTACAAAGTCACTGCTGATATTTTGGCAATAGCACAATGTAAATAGTAAAAAAAATAAGGTCTGCATTGTTCTGTCTCCTTTACACCGTGATCTCGTTTCATGTCTAACATACTCTTTCTAAATGTGATCTCTAGAAAAAAATCTAGATCCCTAATAGGGGACTCGGTCCTCCAACTAGACCCCCTCCATAAGATACAAAGTACTCTAGTCCTGAGCTTCTCTTTACCTTCCTTCTTTAAACCACATGACCGTTAAAGGTGAACCCCAGGTATGTATTTTTATGCAAACTTACACTGGCCCATTATGGCAAAATGTATGTATGCAAATATCATATCTGATCAGGCCACAGGGATCCTGTAAAGCACTATAGTAGCCAGAGCTCCTACAGTGCTCGCTGCGATCTGGGTCCTGCACTGTGCTGAGTGCCTTCAGCTCGGTTCTGAAAACACATGGGGTTGCTTGTTTGGCATAGTGGCCATTCAGAGAATACCTAATACTTTTATCAATGAATACAAGGCGTTCTCTAATTGGATAAGGGGTGAATAATGACATCACCACACCTCGACCAATCAAAGAACACCTTGTATTCATTATTAAAAATACTGAGCATTCTCTTAATGATTGCTGTGCCAAGCGACA